TACGATCTACAACCTACCAGCGCCCAGCGCTGAAGACTACAGCTACAGCTATGGCGCCCAGCGCCGAAGACTACAGCTAGCGCTAATACCTGCCTAGCGCTGAAGACTACTGCAGCGCTCCTCCTGAGAAGCCGAATCCTGAAGACTACTCGTGCCTACTGACACTACCTACCCGTGAAGTGCATGGGAACTTCCTATGTACTACGGGGGTGCCTCCTGAGCCTGCCGAAGGAAGGCAGGGGCTGCAGCTGCAGCTCCTGCTCGAACTCGTGAGGAACAGGCTATTTCTGGCCTGTTCCGCATCCCTGTTTATGTGCCTGAGTCTTAGGGGCAGGTCGAAACAATGAGGGCCTGAAAATGGCCCTCCGTTTCAGGCTGAAAACTCTGGGTCTGAAAAGACCCAGAAATAGGCTGAAGCGGGGTAGGGCCTGCAGGCCCTCGTTTTTCAGCTTTCAGGCTGAAACGAACGGGGCCTGTAAGCCCTAAGTTTTAGGCTTTTAGGCTGAATGTCCGGGACGGGCCCTGCAGGGCCCGTGTGGCTACGCAGTATGCCACACTATGGTGGACACCATCTTCATCACCTTGTTGGGCGCTGCATCTGAAAGGCCCCAGTTGGGCTAGTGCTGCACCAAGGAAGCTCGCGGCAGAGTCAGGCATGGCGGCTTCATCAGCAGAGGCATAGCTGCTTTGGGTTGTCCTGTGGACAGGAGTGCAGCGACATAGCTGCTTTGCGTTGTCCTTTGCACAGGAGGGCTGAGCCCTCAGTAGTCCGCCATAGCCTAGGCATGTGAGAGGTGGAAGAAGGGCAGCAGCCATAGCTATGGTGGACCTGTTGTTGTTGTGTCAGCAGTAAAGGGAGCTTCGGATATTGATTCTGGTTCATCCACTCATTGTTATTATTATTATTATTATTGGAAGAAGAATAAGATTGACGAAGTGAAGGAGGAGGAGGAAGGTGGAGAGAGAAGGGGGATTTGTCATTGGTCTTGCTGGTGTACATCTTCTTCTTCTTCTTCTTCTTCTTCTCTCTCTCTTCTTTGGTCTCTATCTCTTTGCAAGTGCTTTCATTTCTTTCGCAATTGGGTGGCATTGCCTTTCATTGTGAATTTGCACTTTGGGAATGACCAGGATCATAACAATTTGCAAGAAAAATAAGACGTACAAAAGTCAAAGTTGTGTCAAACTCAGAAGGGTCAAATATGGTCAGGTCAAATACAGTGAGGTAAAATATGGTCAGGTAAATTATAAAAGGAACCAAAAAAAAGAAAAAGAAAAGAAAAAAAGAAAAAAAAAGAAAAAAAGAAAAAAAAGCAAGAAAAAAAGAAAAAAAAAGCAAGAAAAAAGAAAAAAAAAAGGAATGACCAGGATCGTAACAATTTGCAAGAAAAATAAGACGAACTTGACGAAGGCAAATGTAAAGGAATAAATGTCAAAAAACCATAGTTGCGGCGCACCAGTGCGCAGTGCGGTGCGGGGCGGTGCGCACTGCGCTGTGCGCTGGAACGACAGCGCGCGCAGTGCGCCATGCGCTGTACCCAGTGCGGTCCGCTGTGAGCGCGCTGAGGGAGTTGTGCCCTGTGCGCGATTAAAAAAAAAAAGGCCAAAAGAAAAAGAGAGAGAGAGAGAGAGAGAGAGAGAGAGAGAGAGAGAGAGAGAGAGAGAGAGAGAGAGAGAACAAAAGGTCCCCTTCACGTCACTTCGAGGCCCCCTGCAGGTACCTCAGATGGCTCCTACAATACATGTGGAGCCATTGAGGGACAGCTTGAATGAGAAGGATGGCCTCGTCACGTGTGGGAGAGATGTGGGCAGACCACCAATATATGCTGTGGATTCGAGTTCAGGGCTGTGGCTTGGCAGTTATGGGTCACCAATTCAGGTAGACCCTGTTCGTGTCTACACGTGATTCTCAGGGCCTCCCTCCACCACTCACCAAATGTATATAATATTAGTAGAATGAATCTTCTGTGAAAACATAGGATATACACAGCCATATGCTATGTCTTTTGTGCATCCCCACTTGAAGTATTCGTAAGAAACAAAAACAAAAAAAACGAGAGAGCCACGGGCATCTTCATCCTGACCAATAACTGCCAACATGCGGACCTGAACGCCAATCTTCAGCAGATATTGGTGGTCGGTTGGCGATGGAACATGTAATTTGTGAATTCTGCGAAATTTCGCGGGGCAGGTCGTTATTAGGCGACTACCCCTTCTTGCGAATTTACCCCACTACTGTGTGGGACTTGCAGAAGGCAGTGGGAAAGACAGCTTTCAAACCCCGCCTAAAACAAAAGTTGGAATGAGCCGTATTTTGTGCCTCGCTATTCTGAAACTTTTGGGGGAAGGGCCTGCGGAAATTGAAATTTCGGCAGCCCTTACCCAAAAGAAGTTTGGGCCGTGGACGCGGCTGGTTTGCGAGCTTGCGTGGTGAGTTTAACATTTTTGCCGAGTTGGGGGCCCTAAGAAATTATGAAACCCCTACTTTTTTTTTTTTTTTTTGGACCTAATTTTCCAAGTGCGCGGCGCTTTGGTGCGCTGTGCTGTGCGCTGCACGTGGTGCGCAAATCCGCGCACCGAGGTGCGCCGCAACTATACAAAAACAAAACTTACAAAAGTCAAACTGTCAAAGTTGTGTCAAACTCAGAAGGGTAAAATATAGTCAGGTCAAATACAGTGAGGTAAAATATGATCAGGTAAAATATAAAAGGAACCAAAAAAAATAGAAAAAAAAAAGAAAAAAAAAAAAGAAAAAAAAAAGGCAAGAAAAAAGAAAGCAAAAAGAAAATTTGAAACAAACAAGGAACAAAGATGTAACTGTTGAATTGTCTAAATATTAAATATTAAATAAATAGATCGTGAGCTTAAAAAGCCTTAAATCCCGATTCCTGACAGAGTCAGAAAAGATATAACCGCGTTAGAGACTAAAGCGTGAATCAAAGGAAAAACGAAATAACAGGAAACAACAGACATAACTTGAAGCAGAACTACCTTTTCCCATGGTCGGCCTCGGGTGAGCCTCCGATCTTTTAGGAGGCCGGAACGAAACGACGGCCACAGATGAGAGACTTGTCGTCGGTCCCAGGCCCAGATGTTTTAGGCGTAGGCTATTTTAGGATATTTTAGAACTTTTCCC